CCGGTGCGTGCCCCCATATCTGGTAGCTGTGCTCGTAGCTATCCAGCTTGGGCGGTGTGTGGGCAGAACTTGGTGAATCACAAAAACAAAACATCCACCTTTTGCGGTCTTTCACCTGTTTCACCCATGACCCACCTCCCCAGTGCGCGCGGACCTCCTTGCAGCTCAAATCCGCGGACGGTGGACCTGGCGAGGTGAGGTGAGGGCTGAGAATCTCCACGGTTGTCGAAGCATGTACTGCTTAGGTGTTTTGGAAAATGTGAAACAAAACATATGGAGCTCACAGGGGGAAGAACTGAAACCACCTTCTCACATGGTTGAGAAGGCAACAACATCGAAACCACACACAAAAACACAACAACAACCCCACACACCGATATCCATCTTCCAACAATGTATATAATCGGAAACACATCCAAACGAAGCGATATAAATTGTACAAAGAAACTACGCTAAAAAAACCGCACCGTCTCTATTCACCCCGTGAGCCTAAACAACGCAAGAATCCACATACTTATGGAGTTTTCCGTGTTCGTTTGGCCCTGCGCCGCCTGGAAAGACCTGAATTCCGTGTTTGTAAAAAACTGTGTGAAGAGCTGGTCAACCCTGATCTCTGAAGATGCTCCGCACTGATGGTTCCCCGTGATGACAAACATGCGATGACCATCCATGACCAGCAGCAATGGGGTACGCCGGGCCTTGCGGAACGCAATAACCCACAAAATGGCAATGACCTCGGCACAACGGAAGGTCCCATTGGTGTCTGGCCAGAAGTTATGTTGCTGCGTTGTCTTCCGTTCATTCCTTTAACACGTGCAAATCCTGTGCACAATTCTGCGAGTGTGCTCCAGTGCAGGAAATGCAAATGACATGAGATAACTACATTTACATGTCAGCAAAGTGTTTCAGTAAGCCGGCTCCCTTCTTCACTGCTACTTTACTCGACCCTCCGTGGCCATTTGTATCAATGCCACGGAGGACACCTCAGTTGGCCCATGGGGCTCAAACCTCTGATGTCGTGCCAAGATGCCAGGCCCCCTGTCCAATTTTGTTTTGTTTAAGACATGTTGGTTGAAACTGCTGAAAAGTTCATTGCTGCTCAAAAAAACTATACCGCAATGGACCTGAAGATGGGGGAAGGCATGCCCAGACCCCTTTTTGCCACAAAAAGTGAAAGCCCCGCAGTCGAGCATGGAGGCCACATTGTCTTGCAAGCGATAGAACCGCCAAAGTGTCCAATTGGTCTAGGGCACGGCCCTTTGCGAGAGCAGCCAGAGTTGGAAAACGCTAGGCCAAGACCCAGTAACACCCCCCAAAGCCGCGCACTCAAAGTGTAAATTCCTGTCGTAAAACAACACCAATTTGATTGTTGAACCATCAACAGGCGACCACAACACGCGGCAACGCAAGCGGCACGCGTCAACCGTATATTTTTGTTCGTTGACCACGAGGCAAACCTGGTGTGATCGATCCCCCCAGGTCTGCCACCCAGCCACATCACCTGGTTTGAAGCGATAGATGCCATGCAATAACCACACAACGTCTGCAATGGCCTCTGCATTTCATCCGCCCTGACGATCCCCAACAGGTATAGGGTATCGGTGCCATCAGATGACACAAATGGTCTTTGACATAGGACTTGTGGCATCGGCAACCATGTCGGCATTAACATGCGTGCATCCCTTATGAAAATAGAACCCTATATAATGAATCATTTTCCGCCAGACAAATGTCTATATCGGACCCTCCCTTCATCCTATGATGATCACCTGGTTTACTTATTATCTATCAATGCCATTCTGGGATTCTCCAGTCAAGTAAAAACAAACGTGTTGTTTTCTCATGTCCTCATCTTTGTGAATGCGCTGGACATTGCCAGAAAATAAACCTTGGAAAACGACATCACCACTGCTCCTATCAGACTGATCAGAAGTTTCGTAGACTGGGTCATCCGCACTGGCCAGCGCCGAGGCGGCTGCGAGGAGTGGCGAGCCACTGGGGCCATCCAGGCATTGAAGTGTCTGGGTTGCGGCAAGGGTGGCAGGAAACTGCCAGGAATGCACCATGTGTGTGGAGATGAGTGTTTCTTTTGCTTTTCGCTTGTTCTGAAGGTGCTCAAAAAGGCTCGGGTGGTAGTGGTAGTAGTAGTAGTAGTAGTAGTAGTAGTAGTAGTAGTAGTAACTTAGTAGTAGTAGTTGTTGTTGTTGTAGTTGTTGTTGAATCGTGTTTGTTTTCTTTCTATAGTCAAGTGAAAAGGGTAATGAAACGAGTTCTATATAAGGGAAGCAAACCGACATTGTAACTTGTTAGAGCATGAAAGGAAGACAAAAGGTCTTGTGGAAGTTGAGCCCAAAATTGAGAAAGGACAATAGACAATACGTACTGTAATTCATGTTGTTTCTCTGGCAAGTTGTCTTATATGGACTGGGCTGTTGAGCATGTCGACGACATTTTCATACCCATTTCGTGCGATCCCTTAAACAAAAAATAACATTGTCTTCTTGGCTGGATGAAAGCTGCAAGACCCGATGTAAATACATATCATATCTCCATTGAACTGAACTTTGTTGGATTGTTGAAGCTCGAACAATCCACCCCAAATATCCCAAAATCGTCCCCTGCCCTTTTAGAGCCAGAGCCCCTCTTCCGAACCTTCCGAACCGCCCTGCCTGGAGCTCCTGGTGACAGCAGTGGCGCCAGTGGCCAATCAAGGACTCCCCGTGACGATGGCAAAACGCCTCGGGGCTGCGGCGCCCGGGCGGACGGTTCGGTCGATGGGGCGCTGGGAGGGTGGTCTGGCACCCTCCGGACTGGCTGACGTCTCGATGGGGGGACGGCCACATTCTCCCTCTGGTACCCCATTTTTGACCTCGCGAGCTACAAGAATTGTGTACCAGGTAGTGGCTATCAACATAGGCACCGCCGGTGTGGCGCCGAGAACGCAGGGAGTCACAAATCGGGATTGAAGGACCCAGGCTGCTGTTGGAAGAGGTTCGCAAGCAAAGGCATAATCAGTAGCATGGCAAACATCACAAACATTCACAAACTGATATGATCTTCTATTATTGCTTTGTGCAGTGGCAGCCATACATGACCAACCATCAAATATTAGTTTTTTGTGAAAAAAACACAGAAAAAAAGCAAATGAAAATGCAAAAGCAGCGCAATTTGCTTTGTGTTTGCATGTGCTTTGTTTTTTGTTTTTTTCCTGTTACCACTTCTGCACTTCTGAGAACTTTTACCCGTCAGCAATATATGTGCTGTACCCTCCTAAGAAAAAAAAGCGAAAAAAAAGCGAAACAAATGCGAAAATAAAGCGACAAAACTGCGAAAATAGAGCGAAAAAAAGTGAGAAAAAGCGACAAATACGCACAGCTACAGTTTTTTGCTTTTTTGTTTGCTTTACCTTTTGCTATTTTTGTGCTTTGTTTTTGCTTTATAAAGTTATTTTGGCTCCTTGTATCTATGGCTGGCGTGCCCGACATAATTCTATTACTTGATAAGTCGGGAAGTGAACGTCAATACATTGAAAATACCGAGAAGATACACTGGACCCAGGCTTCGGCGTGTTGGGGCCTAGGGGTTTCCAGTGTTCAATGGGCCACGGCACCGAACCGGGTCGCCACCGGCCTGGGATCGCATCAGCAAGGCTCGCACGCCTGTGCCGGAAACCAGGTGCGCCAAAGGAGGAGGCGGCGGAAGTGCCAGTTCCTTTGCAAAGGGGTTCAAACTAAGACTGTACACTCCGAGGAAAGCTCACATGGGAGGTTTGTAGAGGAAGGATGGTCATCCAAGGGACTATGATGGACTATGCCATCCAGTTCCATGATTATTTCAAGGAGTGTAGATCCATATGGCTCAAAACATAAAGAGCATGAGGAGCATACAGGACCTGTAGGTTTGTCGGTGCATAGCATGATCATTGTTGATTCTTTGACCAACCCGAACTCACTTTCAAGATCTTTCAAGGGGGCAAATTTATATATTCATTGTATAAATATATACGTATGTTCAAACTTGAGCTTCAATGATTTCAATGTGCGCCATCTTCAAAGGTCAGAATCTGGGTTCCCAAAAGTTGGACTCTTTTCCGGGCCAGGAAGTTCATCCGAAGTCCAAGTCGACGATTGGCACTCACCGACCTTCCTTTTCGGGTCACCGAAAGGCCGGGCCGGTCGCTCGACCGCCGTCTCCGGATCGTCTGGTCCTTTGGCCGGTCACCCCGTCCGGGTGCAGCGGCAAGCGATGCGCCTGTGACTGGTAGAGCGATGTGCAGGTTCCTCAAAACGAACCCATCCACCGGGACTCCCAAATGGCAGGGGTCCGCTTTTGGCCACTGGGTCCGATGCTAGGTTCTTTTTTTTCCAGCCATATGAGTGCAAGTCTTCAAGAACATCCAAGCAAGGTTGCTTCAGCAAAGCCACAAAAACAGCATGTCCTGAAGGTGACAGCAGTTTGAACGCACATGCAATTTAAACTTCTTACTCTGCTTACGCAAAACAAAACAAGCAGTGGAGGAGGGGCCCGAAAACCGCGATGTACAATTCCTCCGGATGGCTGGTCTCTGGTTTTGGGCTCTGCTTTGTTTGGAAACGCTTGGATTTGGCAAATCATGTTGTTGTCCATTTTCCGTGCGAATCTGATTCGAACGGGAGCTTTCCCTCCTCAGCCGCGCTGCCCATCGACTCGCCTCGAGAATGTTTGGCATCCTCCCAAGAGACCTCTGTCATCAGGAAGCACCGCCTGGCCCACAAACCACCACGGAGAGAAACCAAGAAATTGAAATTCTTCCTTCCCCCAAAAGGGACAAAGGCTCCAACAATCTGTTTATATGGTATATGCGTGGATGGATATGGTATATGCGTGGATGGATGAGTTAACAGCTACAGTACAAACAGGTGGTTTCCCAATGGTTTCCACTTCCATCATTCTTTCAAGGAGTGCCACACATGGATTTCATCGATTCCACGAGCCATTGTGGCCATTGTGGCAAGCCGCCAGGTTCGCCAGATCTGATCCGCCAAATTGGTTTCACGTGCCTTTCAACTTGAAAAAGGTGAGTCAGTGGGTTTAATCCTCCATTTTCCATGTCCATTTCCGCCTCCAGCCGCCTGGTATATAGTACTTGGCATAGTACTGTCACTCTGGTCTGAAACCATCGTCCTTCGGTTGAACGCAAACACGTCTCCGAAAAACCACGAGGGCGTCACCTCACCTGGCGAGGGCCTCCACTGGAGCAGCTGCCACGTCGATGAAGGGTTCCAGGAACTCCAGGAAGTTCAGCGGCGTCTGTTCCGCGACTACGAAGGTCCGCGTCATCGGAACAGCGAAGGGAATTCGAACCGCGACCCTTGAAAGAGTTGGTGGAAGGACACAGGGGTTGAGGGACCTGAAAAAGGACACAGCCGCTGGTGGTTCCACTTGGGATCTTTCGAGACTTCCCAACTCCAGCGATTGACGATCAGATCTTGGTTCATGGGATGCGCACGGCTTTCTTTAAACAAGTTGATGACTTGAAAGGGCACAGACTGACATCCCGAAAGTCAATGCTGGAAAGTCGATGACATGTGCAACTGGTACGGTGCAAGTGAAAGAAAAAAGTGTCTTCTAATCCTCTTTGTTTGCCCTGGCCCTGCCTGGTTTGCTCTCTCAAAGGCCCTTTGTAGGCTGTTTTCAGCAGAGGAGGAGGACAAATTTTCCAGTAGAAAAAGCGCCTGCAGGGAACGCAAGCCGGGTTGCAACGCACGAATCCCATGGATAAATGTTATTTCTGCATACATATATGCATACAATATAGTCGTGAGGAAAGCAGCATACCTCCAATTTTCTCCCAAAATCCTGTCCTGGTGCAAGGGACTGCACAAGGAACCAATCTCCCGCGCAGCGACTCTGCGACTCTGTGTGAACAAAGCAGCTGAGAAAAAAGCACATATGACTCGTACTGGAAGGAACACGTATAGGGGTTGAAACTGGCAGTAGTCTCACAGTTGTGTTTCTGAAAGAAAAATAACATACATAGTACCTACATAGTGCCATAGCAACATAGTCACATAGTGTACGCACATGACAAGCGCTTCTTTGCATGTAAGAGACCTCCACCTGACAAGCCCTTCATCCTCGACAGGCTCGAGGCACCGGACCTCGTTCTGCACCTTTGACACCAATCCAAACGTACCAAGAGAGGTATAAGTGACCTGAAAAAGGACACGTCACTACTAGGGTACCCAACTGGAAGAGTCGAACTAGGGTTCTACAACCTCTGTTGGTGTGTTTGGATCCAGACCAGAGGGATCAAGCATCAGTAAAGCAAAGCAAATCACACCAACCAACCATGAACTTCAATGATCCCAAGTAAAGCATCAAACCAAATCACACCAACCAACAATGAACTGACCATTATATATCTGAAATCTGAATGCATGCTTAGTGCTTGGTGAACCTCCACCATGCTAGCGAAACCAACCTCTCCGACGTCGGTGCCTGGCACAGTTGCCGTTCGGCCCAGGCGTCAACGGGCACCTGGTGCAGATCGACCCCAAACGGAAGCCGTCCCAAAGCCCGAGAAACAGGTCCTCCAAAAAGGATATCTATAAGGTAAACATATGGAAACAAATGAAAACAAACCTTGGTGCTTTCTAGAAGGTGTTTTGTTGGGGTCAATGTAGGTCAATATGCCAGTCCCATGGATGGTCTGGGTATAGATCTAAAACGGACCGGAACTGTTGGTGAAGCTGTGTACCGGTGAAGAGCGAGATAGACAATGTCTGCCCCCCTCTGCTCATTCTGTTGCTGGCCACAAAATCAGGCATACCTGGTGGGAAGCGGAGTTGCTCCTCAAACGGGATGATTGTGACTGTTACTTTTTAAGGTCCACCTCAAAAGGTATGATCTCACCTGTGTACGGTTTGGAGTCCATGGTTCATGGGGAACTATTTGGCCACTGGTACATCCATTGACCTCTGTAGCCCACTCCCGTATGGGACACCAGTTCCATGGGGTGGGACGACGGTATCATGCACATGATGCATAGGTCGTGGTGTTTGCATGGGATTAAGCACCGATTCGGACCAGACTGCGGACCGACGAAAAGCGAATTCGTTTTTTTGTGCCCAGGACTTGATGAAACACTTCCAACGTTGTTAATCCAAGCAAGTGGATAGCCTTGGCGCCCAAATTTACAAGGAGGGTTGTTTTAAATTGGCAAAAAGCTATCGTCCTGCCATTCTCTGTAAGGTAGCATGCAAGGAAAAGTTTTGTTGCTCTAAACAGGTGAAGATGGCTGTTAACTTGAAGGGACTTTCAACTCGAGCTTTTTGCAGCTCCTGAAACGCACCAAAGTCTTTCATCTTCCAACCATTCCCAAACCATTCATGTCAGCCCCGAAGGCCGTGCAGTGTTCAGAGATGGCACAAATCATATCCAAGTTGGATCCAAGTTGGAGAGTTCATCCGGACCCCCCCCCCTGCCGTGTTTTCAGTCGGTACATGGAAGATGAGCAGAAACTGGACCAGTCCCTAGAGCTCTCTCTCGGGAAAATCCATGAGTTATGCAAAGAACCAAGTCTCTGGACCAGTCCCTGGACAGCTCCGTACTTTTAAAATCGCAGACTTAAAAAAGGCAAACAGCTTCAGCTCGCTTCGCCAAATACTCTGAAATGGTGGACGACAAGTCGACTAGCTGCTGTTCGTGGTGAACTTGGAGGAATCGTTGCTCATTCCACGGCTAAAAACACGCACAGACCAATGCGCAATTTAGACGAGGCAACAAGTCATTAGGAAGCAGGGACAACCTCCACAATGAGTTATATTCAAACACATCTAAGAGTACCAGTGATACCGGTGAACTGTCTGAATGTTCCTTTCCTTCTGACTGAACGAGGTCCCTTCCTGAACCCGAAATCGGCCAGCCAGCAGCTGTCCTCAAGCGCCAGCACCACCCGCAGCGCCACTTCCAAGGCTTCAAAGCGTCTTTGCTCCTATCGAACCAATTCCCGCCAACGACCACCAAGCCTTCCATACTAGTGTGACTTCAATGAAGGCGGAGAGCCCTATGATTTATAGACCCTTAAATACATATAGTTCAACCCACCGTATGAAGAGGTTGTTCAGTCGAATGGAGGGGCTTTTATACATTCTATCTGTCCTGCAGACTTGAAGACCCTACTTGACCTATTGTTTCAGGACAAGCCCCCTGAAACAGGGAGGACTTGCGTGTCTTCACGCGTTTGTTCAATCTCAAAATGCCCTAAGCTATGTGTCGTCCGGAAATGATGTCTTTTTCTATGTAGCACCCTGCGATATGTTCACAAATCACTGAGTAAGATCACTTTGGATCCTCCTCTTCGACCCCTAAAGAAGGAAATGTCAAGCCATTGTTCTAACTCCGTCCGCTTGGCGCATGCCAAGCGAAACGTGGCCATGGCATACATCATCGTGCAAGAAACGACAAAGGCTCAACTGCACCGTAGACCTTATTTAAAACACTGGTTACATGCATCTGCAATACCAACATGATGCTTGCCATGAACGAACACATCTTCCCCTGCACGTGTGTGACGTTCCTGGTATAGTGGATGATGATAACTATATAGTTAATGATAACACAATACGTTAGCTATCTTCAAACAAAACAAAGTTAGGCTCCAGGTATCTATATATTAAATCTATATGTAAAATTCAGAAATGACTTAGCCATATTGGCATTGAAACCATAGACAACATAAACGCAAGGCTATGGAACAAACAGGAAAACCTTGCCTTTCTCCAACCTGCCGGTCTCTGGGTCTTGTTTGCTTGAACCCTCCGTACGGCCAAACGGAGGGCTCCGGAGAATTACCCGGAGCCGGCATCCGGTCCTCGAACATCGCTTCGGGTGCGGAGGCTGCAACCCCCCAAGACCTCTCCGAAAGACCTCTTTCGGTCACGGTCCCAAAACCGGTCACGCTCCTGTTCCTCCTCTGGTCGGCTTGGCAACACTTCGGCCAGGCAACGCGCATGGCCCCAGGTGTTGCGCTCGTAGAGACCTTCGGCCAAAGCCTCGGTGACGAAAACACGGCAAAGGAAGCTGGAAACACATCAATCATCAATAAATTGTCAGCTTAAACACATGTCACCACATCTGATCCAGCAGGCATAGCTATGCCCCTGCACTTGGCGCCCCTACGAAATGCCGGAAGAGGGCGAAATAGTCGCCTTTCCATCTGTGGAACATGAGAACTGCAAATTCTGGCGCCAACGCATGAAAGTCTACACAATCGGTTTGGGGGTGTCTCAGACTTTTGGAAGTTTGTTGAGCGAATCACAAAGCATCGCCCAAACACACCCAAACAGCCCATGTAGACCCCAACATGGACCCAAAAACATATCACCCCTGGCCGTTTCTCGGCCATCATGGCGAGTTACATGGAGTGTGTGGGCACTATTGAAATTCAATGACGCTGTCCATGTGTCAATGATGCTCCAAAGGGGCTGGGGCCTGTCACAAAGGTCGCACAAACTGTAAAAGTTTAGCACGCACAATGCCATCAAATGCATGTAATCAATGTGTTTTTTTGTCGGGTCATCTCCACTGCATGGCTCGACTAAAGCCCAGAGTGCGCGCACACGGCATAGCCTGCACACGCCGCGACCTCAGCTCGGTTGTCTGCTTCAATCTCCAGGTTGAAGTCGCCATCGTCACCTCAAAAAACTGCAAAGGTGAGAGTTGAACAACGGTCGGCCGGGGTGTCAGGCGTCCGACAACATGTTCTCCACAATGACCCTGCGGTCTCAATTGCGTTTCTACCTGCAATTTTACAGTATATTTGTGCGGTCGGTATTTTTTCTATTTAGAACAGGAAGTCCAGATCTGTTTGCGTAAACGCAAATTTTTGCGACATCCTCTGGAATTTCACCTGCTTCAAGACCTTGGAAAGTAACTTACAAGCTGCCAAAAGAACAACATGCAGGTCGAGTATAGCGGGCCTCCGAAACCAAAAAGAACTAAATTTGCGACGTGTGCAGTGTGCAACATTAATTCGACTACGCCTGTTTTTTGTAACAATATTGCTGTACTGAAGTTACGGTCCGGGCGCGCGTTAGTCTATTTTTGGTTAAAAACAAATCCAAGGCAAAAGTGTTTACTCTCCACAAGAACGACACACCCAAAAAAGAAGAAGGACAAGAAAGTGAACCAAACCGAAACAGCACCACTAAAGCAAGAGAACAATTGAAACAGCAACAGTAGAATTGCGAGCCATGACACTGCGGATGATATTCTGAACGCTTTGACGAGTTTCACTGGGCATTCCCCCCAAATCATTGGTTACCTACAGCGATGAGTTTGATGAACGCGACACACAAAAAATGTAAAATCAAGTAAAGGATAACAGCTTGCAAAACGAGAATGAAAACACATTTTGTGTAATTTCGTTGGGATTCGAGGTGCATTTCACGCGTCTTACAACAGCTCGTCGGAGGGAACAACAAAAACTTGAACAACATTTGCTGCCCTAAATATCCAACCGCAGGTATTTAGCTAGCGACTAACAAGCTAAGGCCCTCGGTTGGCTGAGCAAAGGCGCCAGAATGCACAATCCAACCACCCATGCTCAGGACGGACTACTGTTTATATCCGCTGAGAAAATTCAAACCAGCTTCCCAGAAGGGCTAAAATCGATCAGCTGGTGGCTTCAGTTCAGAAATCCACTTGTCTTTCTATACTTATCTAGTGAACATTGAAGCTACATTGAGGCGTTCCATTTTTTTTATCATTCTTTAACTTTTATCATGACCGCATCAGCTCATTTCGTAAGACCTGACTGTTCCATAGACCACAACCAAAGTGCTCGTCTCTAAAGAACATGACAATATGTATATGTCTATTCGTAGAATTTATAGTTGCTCTTCATTCTGAAATGTTAAACAAATACGTCTATTCAATTTCTCTTCGCAAATATTACGAACTGACTGGATCTATTCATGGAACTTTTGAACCTCAATGCTAACATATTCTTGGTAAATCGATGCATTTTGATCAGAGGAACGGGCGCCAAAACTTAATAGCTATCAAAGTGTGAATCACTTCTTGCGCGCCTTCTTCGAGCCCTTAACTTGTACTTTTCGATGCCAAGCGTCGGCCATGTCCTGGACACGTGCAAGGCAATCGACATGAAAAAGAAAAGCCACGGCTACAGCTGCACACAGCTGTATAATCAACCCACACACCTCACACAAGGGCAAAAAGGTATATCCAGAAACAAGCGACTGTTGCCCTTCTGCGGGGGCGCAATGTGGAACAAGCGCACGCTCAGCGGCGAAGGCTTTTGTGTCCACAGCTCTATGGACGCGTCGTTCGTCAAGCCTGGCATTGCTGCGGCAAACATCATCATGGTGGTGGAGAAGAACCCCTGGCAATTCGCCGCAGCAAGTAGTCGTGGATGCATTTTGGCAAATGCTCTGGTGCAAAGTTGTCCTTCACAACAGCCAGCGCCTCGGACAAGTGCTCTGCAGCATCCTTGTCGGAGAGCTCATCAGCAGCTGGCATGACGGGGGAAAAACCGAATCTGCGCGCGTCTTGTCTGAGAAATTTGGTGTGCCCGATATGTTCATTGCTTCGTCTGTCTTGCATGCTCACGGCACGAGTATACTGGCTTGAGATGCACAGATGCCAGCAAGGAACACTCTAAGACCAACCGGGCTCATCAGGCTCAAACAAGCATGTCTGCCTGACTTGGTCACACAATTGGTATATATGTCAATGTTAGAGCAGCAAAAGAGTGAGTAACGGATGTCCGATTGGCGGATTGAAGTGGATGGAATGCCTTGGTGCGACCGCGTGCTAGCCTGGCTTTGGGTGGTATATACTCCGTGCCCTCAGCGGCCGGTGGCCGGGGGCAGTGGCCAGTGGCCGGCGGTCGGCAAACGAAAATAGCCGGTGGCTGGTGGCCGGCGGCCGGCAAACGAAAATAGTCTATAGTTCCGGCAGATAGGGCTCACTGGTGCTGCAAGCACCACGGACAAGACCGGAACTGGGTTGGCCAGCGCGGCCAGCAGGACAAGAGGAGGACAAGAACAGGACAACAGGTGGACAAGAAGAATGCAGGCGAACAATTTAGTATTCTCTAAGTCCTGCAACATGTTTCCGAGGCTGCTTATGGCTGTTGGATCCGAAAAGCATTCTGCGAGAACTGCGGTCTTTGGAGCTCACAACGATATTGAGGAGGAGCTCAGTGAGACTGTAGGTCACTATAGCCAGTGAGCGACTGGGAAACCTGCCAGTCAAAAGGAATGCACTTACATCTTCTTATTGTATGCACCAAAAGTCTGTTATCCAACCTCAACTTACTCTGATCTGTTTCCCACATCACGAATCCTGATTTGAGCTTGATGGCATCTGGTCTTCAAAGAACATCTGGATGGAAAGCGTCTTTTCCTCCCCAAGAGCCATCCAATAGAAACCAGTCTGTGACCAATTCACTTGATGTAAAAGGCAACTCTGGACACTCACAAGGCTTTCCGAACTTAGAACGAAGACGATCTGCAAAGGACGGCAACGAACATGCAATCTGGTAGCACTTATACGAACTAAAACATGCCACTTTTGTTTGTATGACTGTATGACCAACGTCAGCAAAATGAGGTCATTGACTTGTAGGGAATACGTTTCTATTCTGAACATATTGCAAGTACAATGTTTATCCGTCGTCAAACCATCAACTAAATCATTTCATGCTGATGAAGAGGGGGGGGGCCAGGTGGGCCCTGGGGGGCAGGTTGACAATTTGCACGTTGTTATTTTTTGTCGACCCCCCTCGAATCTGAGACTTATATTGGTTATGATGTTGTTTTATATCGTATTACTTGTGTGTTGTTACCGTGTATTTTGCTTTACAATGTTTTACTACTACACATGTTTTTGTTCCCTATACATGTGTTTGGTGTGTGTTTACTGAGTATGTTGTTCTACTATGCATGTGTTTGATATAACGAAATGTGTTTACTATGTGTTTACTACGTATCTGTGTTTTTACTATATATGTTGGATGTGTTTTTGGCGATTTGATCGTGTTTTTGGGATGCCCGTGGTCCCCTGCTCTCTCTAAATCTATGACAATTCATGTATGTCATTATATTATATTATATTATATTATATTATATTATATATATATATCAAATATATTATTACATATATATATATATCATTTTATGACATTTCATTGCACAGCCTTTTCTTGATTGATTTTCAAGACCCCTGAGCGCCGTCATGTCGTCATTCCCCGGTCCCTGAGTCTCCGCACCTCCTTGCGCCAGCACCTCGTCGAAGAGCTCCAGCAGCGGCGTGGCGACGCCGGCGGTTGCGCAGCGGCGCTGGAGTTCCTGCGCCTCGAAGAGGCTCAACTCCTTGGGGGCGACGAGCGGTGGTGTGGAGTTCCAGGAACCCCCCCCAGCCACGATCCGGGTGGGACCTTCTGGATCTGAAATGCCGGTTCATTTGAAGGCTGAATGGAGGGTGTTTGGAGAAAGGGGGTCAGCAAAAATCGCTTATACTAAGTTAGTGCATGAAAAAAGTTCTGCGAAGGTTTCTGGGATTTCGTTGCAGTCAGTTCTCCTACTGGCCCACCATTCCACGAACTGTCCACGAACAGCCTTGGGTTCTGCGAATGTCCCGCGCCTTCCACGACGTTAGTAGAATAGTTTTTTGCAAAACCCTTTCTGTGCACTACCCTTCCGTTTGCCTTTGATCATTGATCACCCCAGATGTTCACGACGATGTCTCGCTTTCTCCACCATCCCCTGGGCCGATCGCATCTGCACCTGAGAGGTTTCTGCTGTCGGCCCAATGTCTTTCGGCTGAGAGGCCCCAAGAACTCTAAAGACTCAACCTGGAGAACTGAAGCACATGGGCAAAAGAACATACATACCCGCCTGTGTCAGAACCCTCATCTGATATTGCTCACTACTGCAGTCGGCATGGGATATGGTAAGATGATGCCTACCTACAGTAGTTTAGGATAAACCCTGATTCTCCTTCGGATCTCAAACCATTCACGTCTCAAACGCAACCCTGCGCGCTTTTCTCCTGCAGGCATCATGATTCATGACACACTTGGTTCCTGGTCGAACTGAACGGCCATCTCGATCACCTGAACATCACTGGCAGTTTGATGCTCCGTCCACAAGTGACGTCTGGCCAGGTCCACAGGCAGAAAGTGCTTGGCCCATGGCCCCATGATGGTGACGTGAACTGCCAGCAGTGCATATCGACCGAACAACTTGGTGCCGAAGGCGTACCATAACTGAAAGAAGGAGCCGGCCGCAAGAGCAAATCGTAGATACGACGTCGATATGGCAGCTCCTCTGTTCATCTCATCCGTCGGCAGAGTGACTCGGAAGTTCCACAGGCCAGCATCAAACATGAAGAGATTGGCCAGAGCCGCTGCAAGGATTGCAAAGCTCAGTAAGGGAACCAAGGGAGTCCAAAAGATCAACATTTCCTTGGCAACTTTGGCAAACTGTAGACCCTCTTTACCGAAAGCAGGGCACTTCAACAAAACCGCTGGATCTATACTGTACTGTAAGTGTGTAACGCTTAATCGGTATGTGTTTCATTCGGCGTGAACGAGGGTAAGTCCATACAGCCCTGTACCTTTCATTGCTCTTCTAGGTGAAATTGCAAGGAAAAACATACTGCTGCACCCTTTGCGAGAAAGCTTCCACTTGCGTAGTCAGCAGCGACAGCTGCTGCAAAGGTACCAGCGAGCCGGTCATCTTTGGCCACCGACCGAAGAGCTTCAAATGTCTTCCCTGCAAGTCGTCTCTTGCTATATCCAGCTTTGAACAATGCCATAAAATCAATAGAATCAAGGGTTGGACCGTCGCTCGAACCATGAGCTTCTTTAGAAGGAAGGGCGTCAAGTTCCCTACGATGGCCCGGCTACACCTGCCATCTGACCACCAAGCATCACTGGATGCACAGATGTCTGCGTCGGTGTTCAATATCTCTTCGCCAAAGACTTCCCAGTTGAAATTCTGGTGGTTCGGGGATCCTGCTTGGCACACCGTCCAAGTCCATTTCCAGCCGGATAAGCAGTTCTCATCCAATACCACTGTGGTCAGCAGCGCCAAGAGCCAAGCTGCGAAGAGACGAAAAGTCATAAGTAGACGATCTGCTTTGATGCCTGTGAAGGCTGCATACTTGGCTGAGACCGGGGCTGAGAGCACCATGTCAATGAGCACATTCAGGTAAGGGGCAAGAGTGTTGAACCATTGCAAAACAAGATCACTCACCGGAAGTGAGTTGTGTGCAGGCAAAGATTGGGAGAAAGCAAACAGAATAGATGGCAATGAAAAAATGGAGACAATGCCAAACCAGCAAACCCAAGCTAGAACTTTTCCGAGTCGATGATGCAGGCCTTTGGCAAAAACAGCGGCTTGTGAAGATGGAATCTTGGGCATGCTTGCCACCACCGTGCGAAAAAGGAATGCCATCGCGCACCAACAGGCGACGATAACAGAGTCCACCCCTGGATCTGTTTCAAAGTTGGAAGCAGTTGCATTCCACAAGGGCGGTGCAGCGGCGTAGTAGCGTGCATTTTGCCAAAAGAACATTAAGAGCGGGCAGGCCAATGCAAAAGCTCCCCCGGCGGCTTTCAGCCTGGGATTTGGAGAAAGAGTGGAGGTTTCGTTAAGAGCAAACGACAACACACATAAGATCATAAGAATATCCCAGTGCCGGGGTGGCAAAGAATCAACAACACCCATTCTTGCCATCTTCCAAGTCACACTGCCACATTAGAAGCCGCCACCCGAGCTGCCTGCCCTATGCACAAGCTGCGATATGTCTGGAGGAACTTTTGCCCAAGCGGCCAGCTGAAAACGACCATGCCAAAGAACAAGATGTACATACCACCTAAGAGTTGCAAATCAGGGAGCTGGGCGCAACAAACATGTCGTGACGACAGTCAAGCAAAATTAATTCATTGATGGAACTAGCATTAAACAAATACTAAAACAATCTAAAACAAATTCAAACAAAACACATTGAGTGAGTCCATGCCACCCAACAGCTGAGTGTGAGAGTTCCACACTTTGGGCGAATAGTAGAGGAAGGGCTGCTTCTCTGCAGGCAGTATCCATGATGAGTTCAATTCTCGCCCATTCCCAAGCATATTTCCCATGATGCACAGGCCTAAAACGGCAGTTCTGCTGATGCTACTTGGGATGTTGCCTGACAGGCGATTCCTGTGAAGTGTCATGTTGGCGGTCCCGTTTGGGCAAGCGCCACACCATCTGGGGCAGTTTTTGATCACTTGCTGAAAGACATCAGCTCCGAAAGCCTGCACCATTGGGTCGTTGCATGTGGTTTCGCTGCGCAAGAGGCTGCAGCTGACTCCGGAAACTCTGTACCGCCCGTTGTCAATGCATGGGGTCGTCATGCTCAATTGCGGAATGACACCCACAAGCATGTTCTCATGGACCGTCAAAACTCCCAAATGCTCCAAAGTGTCCAGTCCAGTTGGCAAATGGCCTGTGAAGGCATTTTTATGAAGAGCCAACACCACCAGCTCGGGCGCCCGGACTTCTGGAATGGCTCCCCAGAAGTAATTATTGTTTAGAGCCAGGAGCTGCAAATTCTTGAACTGCAGCAAACATGGAGGCAGCTCACCGCTGAGCTTGTTGTGGTTTAATCGCAGCTGCTCCAATGACATTCCAGCAGGGCTCGTACCGCACAAAGGCTCGATGAGCTTCCAAATGCCTCCAACGAGCTGGTTGTGGCTCAAATCGAGCTCTTCAAGCTCAGTGAGGGGCAAGCTCATCACCGACTCTCCACTCAGCAGATTAAAGCTCAGGTCAAGACTCTTTAGGTTGGTGGTGTTGAATACAATCTCCTTCAAATCGCCCTGGAGTTGGTTTCGGGCAAGGTGTAGCTCCTGGAGTGACTGGAGCTGGCTGAGTTCCTTGGGGATTTCGCCACTCAGCTGGTTTTGGGTAAGGTGTAGCAGTTTGAGTGACTGGAGCTGGCTGAGTTCCTTGGGGATTTTGCCACTCAGCTGGTTATGGGCAAGGTCTAGTATCCGCAGTGACTGGAGCTGGCTGAGTTTTTTGGGGATTTCGCCACTCAGCTGGTTTTGGGCAAGGTTTAGTGTCCACAGTGACTGGAGCTGGCTAAGATCCTTGGGGATTTCGCCACTCAGCTGGTTTTGGCCCAGGTATAGAAACCCGAGTGACTGGAGCTGGCCAAGTTCATTGGGGATTATGCCACTCAGCTGGTTTGGGCCCAGGTGTAGAAACCCGAGTGACTGGAGCTGGCCGAGTTCCTTGGGGATGTCGCCACTCAGCTGGTTTTGGGCAAGGTTTAGTGTCCATAGTGACTGGAGCTGGCTCAGTTCCTTGGGGATTTTGCCACTCAGCTGATTTTGGGCAAGGTATAGCTCCTGGAGAGACCGGATCTGGCTGAGTTCCTTGGGGATTTCGCCACTCAGCTGGTTTTGGGCAAGGTCTAGCACTCTCAGTAAGTGGAGCTGGCTGAGTTTCTTCGGGATTTCGCCACTCAGCTGTTTTTGGGACAGGCTTATTGAAATAACCATGCCGTTGCCATCGCACTTCAACAAGGGCCAGTTGCTGCATGGGTTGTTGGCCAGCTTCTGGGCCTGCCTCTTTGACATGCCAAGTGCTTGGAGAATGTCGAACATGATATCCTTCAGGGATGGCACACAAATTCCCTCTGTGAATGCCGGAGGGCAAAGCTACGAAAGGCCGGCTACAAAAAAAAACAGACTTTCATAATCTTTCCTTCCCTCTGATATTGGGGTGCTGCCCATCACCAACGAGTGAAATGAAAGCTGCTTGACAAATCAACAGAAGTGAATGAATTAAGACACGCCAGTCCTGTTGGTTGATAGAGGACACCAAAGACACACAGGCAAACAAGGCACCCCAGTACACTGACATGGCCGCGCTGACCACGGATGGAAGGAGTGAGCCAGTTTGTTGAGACTCAAAGGGTGCGGTGTTAGCTATAGGAAGGCAATAAACGTCTGAGAGCATGATATTAGATTCTTGGGAGATCGCAGTACAAAGTAACAGTCGCGACATTAACTATATAATGGCCCATAGGATTACGTTATATGTAGCTTAGCAGCCGGACATTTCTCAAAGCACACCTCAACTCCACAGAATGTGTGAATTCTTCCCCTTCCGGCCGCTGGCCCTCGCCTACTTCAGCCCCTTCTGCCGAGTTGCCAGCTCACCATAGGAGAGTTGAGTGGCCAAATGTTGGCGCACCTGCGGCAGCCGTTCATGACCCCCCAGCGCTGGCTACGACGGCATTGCGTTCTTCTCTTTTTTCACCGAAGTCAACCGATCCCAACCAGCTCAACTGGCCAGCTCCGCACCACTTCGCGGCGTCGTGTCCTGAGCGAAGCCGAAACAAAGACAATGCATGAGACTGTGATAGACAATGCGTGATTCCAATCTTTCCCTTCTTATTGACAGTAACCCCTAGAATATCTAATGGGTAGAGGTGGATCTATTCCAACCGCCAACCCTTTCGAAGGATCTACGACTGTATCCCAGCATCCTTACTGCGTCACCAATGGTTCCATGGGCCCGAGACGCCATGGGACAAAAACGAGACTCTGGCATTCGTCAGATGCTCTATCGTTCCAACATCTTTCAACCTCCTCCTAACCACCATTACCCACCTACAGATTCCCCACCTCCCACCACAAACAACAAGTGCTCGCCGCATGCCGAACGCCACACACGCGGATCCGGGACGGTTTTCCTGGTGCCCCCAGTGCCGCCTGGTGGAAGTGCTTCTCGAGTCGAAGCTCTTCCTGCGGAACGAGCGCCGTGTCATGCCGGACGAGCGGCCGCGGCGTTTTTTGCATGGGGGAACATATCCTAACTGTTCAAAGCTCTAAGCTCAAAGCTGGAACTTGGTTGTTTCATGGGCAAGATATTTATAAGAATAATGCTTGTTTTGTAGGACTTTCATTCAAGCATCATCACAGCAACGATTATGCGGCCAGCTGATAGTTCCCTTGTGGCTCATCATTAACCACCGTCTGCAAGGCTGTAATGATGTAAAGAGTGTGAAGTCGAGGCATGTCTCTCTCTCTATCTCTCTCTCTCTCTCTTCTCTCTCTCTCTCTCTCTCTCCCCCCCTCCCTCCCTCTCTCACACACACTCGTGTAGGCACTGTAGACGCACTACGCCATGTGAAGGTGTCACTGTAGACGGGTCACCCAATGTCCTCCCCCCAGGCCCTGGACAGACCTGGTCTATTCAGAGACCCTGTCCATTTCTTGAGTCTTCAGACGTGATGAGACGTGATCAAGAGTCCATACATGCACCACGTGCCTCATGACATACATGCATCTGCATCTTTGCATATATACATTGGGAGTGTTTGCGGGGGTCAATGTATGTAAACATGCCAGTCCCATGGAGTGTCCGGGTACCAATGCCATCCATGGTGCAGTCGTCTACTCTCCGCACGAATGCAGCATGCAAGTGAGATGGCATTTGATTGAGATAGATCAGGTGGTATTTGGGATGGGTTAGGAGGGGGCAAGAAGACCCCGGCAGGCAAGCTCAACTGCTCTTCAGCCTCACAGTCACAGACTAGAAACTGTCAGCCTGCAAAGCCAGCACTATACTCAAACAATTAATATTGCTTCAATATGCATAATATCATTGTCCTTTATCTAAATTGGGGTAGTTTGAGGGGCATCAACATAATCTAGACTCTTGATCATGATCAGTAAAACCCCAATGATTGCAAAGACTACCAATCTAGACCGTCTCTTGCTATTCTTGATGGTATGTTGGATGGTGTGTTTTTGATATAAATATGGTAGGTATATCTTTGTTTGTTTTCAGAACAGAATTCCGGGAGACTGTCTGATTTTTTCTTGGGCCCCCCAGGTCACCAAGGAACGGAGCTTCTTCCAAGCTCCGGCTACAAATTTCAGTCTTTCCTTTTGTGGGACATCCCTCCAAACTTATTTGTTTTGTGTTTTGAGGGATGTCCCACATGAATCCATTTACTTTTCTAAGTTATCGAACTTGAGAAAGTACACATGAATCTATTGGGATGAATCAGAAGGTCACTTCCCAGTTGGATCTGAGTGGGATCGCCTGCTCATCGTCCATCACGGCACCAAAAATGCACTACATGGCGGCTGACTTGGGCAGCTCTGTGCGCGGACTAAATTGACCCTCCGACAGGGTCAGTGGTGCTTACTGGGGGGCTTACTGGGATGGTTTGGGTGTATACTCCTGTCTTCAACACAAATCACAAATCTAGTGCAATTCTAGCCTTAGACTGCACTTGGCTGTATGTAACCAATCAACTAAATGAAGCAGCCAGCAAAACATGCACAACAACGTCGATGGTCTTGACGAAGGACGCAGAAATCAACTATACTTCACCTAAGTCGTATGACGTATACGAACCTGGAATCGCCTACTATTCAGTGAGATGGCAGATTCCCGCATGTTATGGCAGTTGTGGAATGTCTTCTGTCAAACGTGTCTTCGCTCCAAAGAGTACTCTTTCGGCCAAGAGGAACGGCAGTTTCAGAGCCATTGGGCAGCGAAAAACCGCACGGCGGAATGTCACGTGGTCAAAAAGAATCAAATGCAGAACGCCCCCTTCAGTCGTTCTTTCTTTGTGTTCTTTTTTCATGGATGCACGAATCACATGTTAGAGTCTGTTAGAGTATATTTTGTTTTAAAGAAGACAAACATGAAGAATTCAACAAAGATTGAAAGTGCTTGACCCTCTAAACATATTATTTGGTTCAGCCGCTTTTGCAAGTGTTCAATCCTCCAATCCTGTGAATGGTTGCCTGCTGTGCAAACCAGCACGAAACCCTCCGGGAAAACATCTTGCAGCCACGTGCTTTTAAGAAGTAATTCAGTTGGCAGTACCAACTCCTGCGTTCTACTGCTTTGTCCCAAATGCGAGACGATGTGATTCTCGAGTCCGTCCTATAGGTCTAGCAGCTCTCTCTAGCAGTTCTGTTGGTCAACAGTCAACGAATATGAATAGTATTATGGCAGCTCACAGGTCACATCAGATCAATGAACAAGATTCAACATCACCTTTGTTTAGGTCAAATCTGAGTCACCCAATGCACAGGTTCAAGTCCAATTGAGAGCGGTTTTTGGTTTCGGCTTTGTGGGATGCAATTCAAGTTGATTGAATGAGCTTGATCAAAACCAAAACAAACCTCCTCCCCACTCTTATAAAATGACCAAATCCTCTGCTTCACTTAAATCTCGAATCAGTTCCTTCTGGTGTGTCGCTCTTGTCATCGACTAACATTACTGCCATTGTTTGAAGATGTTGTGAACATAGCATGGTCAATTAATATGTTCCAGTGAGACAGTGATTTCAGAGTAGATAGATGGCACTGGCACCCCAAACTGTCTTGGACAATTGGTTGTCCATAATTGCACCACCCAACTTGGACATATGTGCCATCTAGTCTCAATCCACTATGACTATCACCTCTTCAGATTTGGAACGCAGGCTTTTCACGTTCCGCTAACCTGAGATGACATGGTGGTCCAGCTCAACCGCCTTCAGGGACCGCACTGGGCTCCGGGGTCTCCGGACCCGATGCGTTCGGTCCCTGTTTTGCACCGGTGCGGCGACGGCCGGCAGCTGTGAGCTGTTTTCGCAGTGAACAAAAAGCCACAAAAGCGATGTTCCAACGACCTACTCCTGTCCATGCTGGAAGCTGGCTTCAATTTGCAATGAGGAAGCAAAAATGCCAACACAGCTATGGGAAGCTATGGGTATCAAAAGCTGGGCAAGCGGCTTGGGTCTATCCTATTTTTCAAGTAGCAGTGGATATATATTCTGGTTGGGTTTGTCAGGCCTTTCCATCTAGAAATTAGATGCAATTCGATGAAACGTTTCGTGGTCCTTTCATGGTGGAGAACGGTTGAAGGCTCCTCAAACCAACGGAACGAACCTCCCGGGACTCGAAACGGTCAGACGAAACGCCTTCGCCGCTTTGGCAGGGACAGCTTCTGCGTTGGGTTGCACGGTCAATCCCCCCAAAACGCAGCTACCGAAACGAAGACGGACGAAGAAGTGCGGATCCCACCGATTTCGGTTTTTGGTCGTTTTTAGCTTGGCAAATTCCAGCGTTAGGTTGTCCATGTTACGGTTGGGTCCTGTGACCGCTCCAGGAGCCGTTGGATCACTGCAGGCAGCAGCTCACTGGGGCCTATGACTCGTCAGACTTCTCCTAAACCGGCGAGCGTGAGCGTTCGGCATGAATCACGGTGGCCCCTCAAGCTTTAAAACAGTATGCATAATATAATGCTTGAAATTATACTCATCATCACATCATATGTTGGGTTGTCGCCCCAATTAGCAACACGTTTTCTTACTCTTTGAGCACCTAGTTGTCCCACAAACAGCTGATCAGCGTTTGCATATCAGCCACCCAATGTGAAGCATCACTGCACTTAGTAACACGTGTGTAGCAAAGGCCCAGTGTGAATGTATTTTATTTCAGCAATCAGTAAATATGATGTATTAATAATGTATATATATATATTGTCACTGAGTCCACTGCAAATTGAAAGTACACACCTGGTTGGTGCTTTCACCCCCCATTGAACAATGGTAGTCAGCGGGTTCAATCCTCCCAAATATATATATATATATAAAAACTCGGTTGGTCCTTTTTCAATGCGCTCCGCAGTTGAGTCAACAATTTAAAAGCAATGGTGGAAAACTGTAGACTGACT